TATTAAGATCGGCAAAATTTTTTTTTTAATTTCACTCAAAATGAGTTATTTGGGTCATAAACGACCTAAATACAAAATATTTTCATGGTGTCTGTCCGTCTGTCTGTAACACGATAACTCAAAAACCGCTAAACCGATTTTAACCAAATTTGGCACAAAAATACTGTGGCACCCGAGAATCTAGCCATTAGTTTTTGGTGGGGGTGGGGGGTTGGTAAGGGGGTATGGGAGAGGGTTAAAAATATTAAAAAATCGTAACTCCGAAATTACAGTAGCTAGCGAAACGCGGTTTTCAATTTAAGATTAGGAATAATATTTGTAACAAAATTTGTAATAACATCAAAATCAGTCAAAGTCGCAGTTTTTGAGATAAAAGAAAATTGGAAAAATTCCTTTACTTTGAAACTAAAAGAAGGCAGTTTTTTTAGTCACAACCTACTTTTTATTAACATATTTTAGTATGGGCGGCTATACGTTCCTCCCGGCGCCAATTTTTTTAATTTCAATTTAGGAAAAAGGGCTTCTAAAAATTAAACGAAACATAAATAAGAAATAATTAACAAATTCGATTATAAAGACCCCTCTGAATTCCGCGGATTATGTTCGTTCGTCCATTACGCGTCTGGACAATTATCATTTTTTCGCGTCGTTAACCAGGCGCACAGCAGTGAACTCCGCGCCTCCGGCTGGACAACGCCAAATTAGATTATTATTGGGCAGCAATTTGGCGGTTTGTCCGATTTGATTATGCGCTGTCGAGTTTTTAGAAGTACATTCGACCGTTTAAAATGCTTAAACCGTTTTGCAAAATTACATTTTCTGTGAAAATACACAAAAATATAATATGATTTTTAAAAGTTTATTTTTATTAAAAATACTATAAGGTATCTATATTTTTTTGTAAATTTACTTATAATTTGTTCAATGCAGTCTTGTACACTTCGCATTAAAAATATTCTTTTTTCCATAGCAACTGTTAAAATTGCCTTATATCTATCAAAAATAGTAGATAAAATAGTAATTTAACCGCAAGGGAAGATTAAATGATGCTTTAACAGCGAGGATAGGTTAAACACTTTATTTCTTCTCGCACGTTTTTTAATTGCTTTCATTTTTGAAAATTGTTGTATTCCTTTTCATAAGTTATTTGGGATTTAAATGGAAGTAGTTTGGATATGGCGTTTGTCGCCTGAGCCTGAATATCTGTTGGTAATTTACTTATTTCGTTTCGAGCCATTTCTGGCTCCAATTCAATCAGCAATCGACACGAAAGAGAATTAAAAAATATCGACTCAAAACTGACAACCATAGACTAATGTCATGTACTAGAGATAGATTGGACACTGATATAAAACAAATAAGTCCGTCATTTAGAGCCACCTGGTGATCCGGAAGAAACTAAGGGGGAGTTTTGGCATAACATAATTTTATCGTTCGGTTACTTATTAACGCTAACTCAAAACGGTAACGTTATTCAAGCGCAAAATTATTCCTTGTAAAAAATAAAATAATATGAATACATACATTTTAGCGCCTATTATTATGATAACAGTTGGAAAGAATTTTATATACTCACATTCTATTGACCTCAGAGATTGGAAATATGCTGGGGGAGAAGAGAAATTGCGTTTCTTTAAGTATTTTTTCAACCAAACAAACTTACGGGACAGGGGAGCGAATAGGGGTGCTGGGCGGGGTAAAAGCGTACAAACTGGTAAAACATGACATAAAAATACAGAAAAATCGCATTTTCCATTTAAAAAAATTGAATTGCAAAATATTTTAATTTAATATTTGACACCTATTTGACGTTATGAGAATTTTAACACTTGATTTGACATGACACCGACAGAAGGGAAAGCAATGGTGCCAGTCCCACTGAATTTTCTTTAAAATTTTTATATCTGTAGAAAAAAATAATTTATTATATTTTTAGTGCTATTTGGGATCCGTTTCACTTTATGAGCCTCAAAATTAAGAAATTTTCTATAAAATGAAGTGTCAATTCTAATGCTATTGAGACAAACATAAAGAGCTTGAGTTGAGGAAAAATGCAATTTTGGATAAATAAGAGAAAACATTTTATAACATACGAAAAAAGAACAAAGAATAAAACGAAACAAAACCAAACCCAATCTAAACAAAACCAACCAAAACAAAACCAGCGTAAACCAAACCAACCAAATCGCTCAGTGTGTTTTCATTGCTAGAGATATAACTAAGCAATTCTCTATACCGCTGGTGGCGTTTTAGCCAATATGTTAAACCAAAGTAAGTAAAAAAAGAAATAAAAACATTTTAAAACCTATGACGTCATTTTTCCCTTTGAAAAAAAAGGATGCATGAAATTCCGGACAATTTACTAGCTGATTTGGCAACCATGCATCAATTCACAATGTTTGTCAAAATTCAACCTTCACTACTGTCAGCATATCCTTCAATGTAACCCAAATGTAACCTGCCAATGATTTCTGAATAAAACAGTTTTTCATAGTTTTTTGAAAAAATTTTACATTAAAAGCTTAACTAAAGGATTGTAAAATGTTTTTATTATGAGTATATTTAATCAGAATATTGATTTTACCCCGCCCAGCACCCCTATTCGCTCCCCTGTCCCGTAAGTTTGTTTGGTTGACCAAATACTTAAAGAAACACAATTTCTCTTCTCCCCCAGCATATTTGCAATCTCTAAGGACAATAGAATGTGAGTATATAAAAATTTTCTTATATAATCCAAAAATAGCCGAAAACCGTATATGCAACAATTACCCCTATTTTTTGATTTAACAAATAAATTATAATATTATAATAAAATGATTATAGACTACTAATTGTTAAAGTACTATATTACCAACTCTGTACTTACTTATTTATGATTATTTTTTTTTATTTCGTTCATAAATGTATTATTCATCTAAGCTGTCTAAAAGGACTTTGCTAAAAAAAGTTTAGTATCTCACACAAAAATGATGGTCGATTGTAAATATCAAAATGCATAAACTAATAAAAACACAAACTATAAACACAAATCACCGAACTTTCCGGCAAATCAGGAATATCTGAATTAATAATTATTTAAAAATGATTTATAAATAACTTGACGGATCACCAACTTTTTGACAACTAAACCAAAACTAGACCATAGATGGTAGTAAATATAGAGGCTGTGATGTCATTTTGATATATAAATTAGAAATCTGTACTTTAATGTCTGTTGTGCCGTCTGGCGATGCGGAAGAAACTAAATTTGTAGTTCCATAAAATTACCATTAAGTGTCTAGGGCATGCTGACAACTAAAGAGACAGCTTTATTTAATTGTCAAATTACATAGAAACCAACGCCAACCTAGCACAATATTTTTTCTACTCGTAATAAATTCCTGGAAATAATAATTTCTGAATATTTTTTAAAACATAACTCGCTATGGAAAAAAATATTGTTTTATACACGACGATAAAATTGCATCATCGTCTCCCGAAATTAATTTAATTAAATAAAAAAGAACTATTTTAATATACAAGAAATTTTATTGACCTAGTATAATTTAATTATCTATTGCTTTTATACGGATTACTTATTCTTATAGAATTTCTAATAAATATTCATCAACAATGTGTACGCCTTGGTATCACCGGATCATGCAAGCATGCCAAAAATACCTTTATATTTACTTTTATAAGCTCTAATGCCCTTACGGAATTTGATTATTCTACTTCATCTACCCATTTTTAAACCGACGACGGGAACATCAATCAAAACTAAAGATGGAGGAAGAGATCTACTCACCGTGTCGTTGGCACGAAGCGTTCGAGAGATAAAATTAATATTTACCCGGCCTGGGGCCTCACTGCAAAATCTTCCCCATACTACGAAGGAGTTTAATATTTCAGAAGGCTCAAAAATTTCCCAAGTAAATTAACGGGTATGAGCCTGAACACGCAAAGCATGTGAAATGAAAAATTTAATATATTTTCGTGAAGAGTTTTATGATTTTTGTTTTTAAGTATACAGGTGTAAGTTAAAAAATAGTTTAATTAAAAGACAGGGTTTTCTACAATCATGACTTGAGCACAAAAACGAAACTTGCAGTGTACCGAGCAATAATAATTCCCACCACACATTCCCAATAATAATTTCACTAACACATTGTTATATGGAAGGGAAACCTGGGTGCCATACCGCAGCGCCGGCACGCGAGCGCATTAAACAAGTTGCAACAGAGACACCTTAGACAACTGTTAAGAATCAAATGGTACCACCATTTAGATTAGATTGGACTTAGATAGATTAAGAAAAAAGTACCCCCATGTCTCCAACGTATCAGTCAGGGTTCGGAAGTAGTTAACTAAGACGTAATTTACCTGATTAACTACGTGTAGTTTTTCTTCAAAAACTACGTCTTTTCCCGTTAATTAACTACATGAAAACTACGTTAATAAACTATGTATTGATATTATGAATATTTTTCCTTTGTATGAGGTGTAATAGAGATAATATGATGTAAATATTATATTTAAAGCCATATTTCTTCTGTTTTCTTAAATACATTATGTGTTTTTAAAGCTTCAACTTATTATAACCTCATCTCAAACCTTTGACATTTGAAAGTTACATACATAGGTTACATAAACTACACCCTCTACATAAATTACATTAACTACATGTGATGTAGTTTATGTAGTTTTTAAAAGTAACATGTAATTTTCCGAACCCTGGTATCAGTCCTCTATACATTTTATCTAATACTCGAATAATAGTTATTTTTTATACAAGACGATAAAACGGTATTTTTTACGATAATGCAATTTTATCGTCGTGTATAAAACAATATTTTTTTCCATAGCGAGTTACGTTTTAAAACATATTCAGAAATTATTATTTCAAGGAATTTACTACGAGTAGAAAAAATATTGTGCTGGGTTGGCGTTGGTTTCTATGAAATTTGACAAATAAATAAAGCTGTATCTTTAGCATTAGTGATGGGCGAAAATAACCGGTTATTTGAAAAAACCGATTAACTGTATTAAATTAACCGGTGAATAACCGGTTATTTTTTTAGCCAGTTAAACCTAATAACCTGGTGCATCCCTCAATAACCTAAAACAGGTTATTTTTTTAAAAGATATCTAGCTCGACCTAGCTCTAACTACTACTAAATCCTAAATCTACCTCGTCCGCTTTATTTTATCTCAGTTCGTCCGTACTTTTTTTACATTTTTATTTTTTCAAAATTGTCAATTTAAATCTTAAAAATCAAAAATCTTCTCTCGGATTTGGAATTTTAGTATTTTGGATTTGTATTTACATTTGCATATGACATCTGACATCTTATGTAAAATGTAAACCATATTCTGTGGTAAAATCTAACCTCAATGTTGATGAAACGGCGGGTTTTGGTTTTGGACTTTTGGAGTTTTGTTTCGATTTGTAATGATCTTGATCTTTATTAAAGATTTTTATATTCAGTGTTCAGTTAATAAGTAGTGGAAAATGCCAGCAAAAAAAAGTGACGTGTGGAATTTCTTCAAACGAAAAGGTAATGGTATCTGCCAATGCAATTTGTGTGGTAAATGTTATCGATGTGGTGGTGGAACGACTAATCTAAAAAATCATTTAACCCATAAACACCCAGGAGTGGCTAAAGACTTAAATAATAATAAAAGTAGCAATAGTAGCTTGAGCTTAGATAAATTTAATACAAAAAAACAAAGGCTTGATACTTGTGATGTACCTGATTCTGAAGCAGTACCTTCAGGCTTGTCAACAGTAGACTCTTCCTGTTCCACAGAATCAGTACGATCTGATTTTGATGACAATGGTGAGGTAAATAATAATAGTTACAATTATATGTAGACATTTTTAAGTAGCAAACCTATTGAAAAGTAGTAAAAAGAAGTAAAAAACCTATTAAAATTATTAATATTATTATTTAATTATAATTTGTAGTAATAATAAAATACATATTTAATTTAAATTTGTGCTTTTTAGATCACTCAAAGTGTTGATTATAAGACTGATACTGATAGACCTTTATCTACAAGTTCCTCGACATCCTCAAGGACTCCTGCTAAAGTTTATGCTCAACCGACTATAATGAAAATTATTAAAAACCAAAAAAGTTATGAGGGTATGCTATATTTTTATCTTATTATTAGTAGTTACTGTTGGTATAAGCAAATTTGAAGATACTGATCCTCTATTTTTTGTTTTTTTTTTCACTGGGACAAAATGATTCATAATACTAATTTTAACTTTTATTTTAGTTGGAGGAACAAAAGAATCTGCCATAACCCAGTCCCTAATTTTCATGATTTGTAAAGACAACCTTCCTCTAGGTTGCACAGAAAAAGAAGGATTAAATTTTTTTTTGAAAACTACTGTTCCATTATATAAGCCACCCAGTAGAAGAAAGGTGGGTTAGATTTAAATTTAGTTATATTGAATTTTAGATTTGGGTAGCTTAACCTTTTACTAGTTGTTAAATATAAAAACTGTTTTTTTAGATTACATCACTTATGGAGCAAAAGTACTTTTCCTTACATGCACTTGTTTCTTCCCATCTAACAAAAGTCAAAAGAATATCCATAACAACAGACATAGCAACAGTAATGAATTCTACCAGAAGTTTTATAGTACTAACAGCTCATTACATTGGTAAGTTTTGGTTACCATTCTATTCTACCATTCTTCCATGTTATCCTGATTCCTAATTATGTGACTTTGCTTTTACAGATGATGCAACAACTAGCATGGAGACATTTTGTCTTGGGGTCAAAAACTTAACCCCTCACCATACAGCTGAAAATATTTCAAGTGACTTAACTGAAATGATCGATTCATGGAACATTTCAAAAAATAATATAGTATCGGCTACCACAGACAATGCAGCTAATATAGTTGCTGCAGTAGGATTACTTTTAGATAATAAAAGACACATTCCGTGTTTTTCACACAATTTAAATTTAGTTGTTACCAAAGCTCTTGGGGCAGTTCCAGATTTAGTTGAAATCATTGAAAAAGTCAAACGCATTGTTGCTTACTTCAAACACAGCAACATTGCTCAGGACGACCTAAGAAATGAGCAAGAAAGAGAAGGAAAATGTAATGGCACCTTTTTATACCTAAAGCAAGAAGTGCCCACAAGGTGGAATTCCACGTTCTATTGTTTAGAGAGGTTTTTATTGCTGTCAAGGCATATTGGAAGAATTTTATTAATGGGGACTCATAAAAGAGCACCATCCATGGTTACTGCCAATGAACTTTCCATTCTTGAAGAATGCCTGCAATTATTAAGACCGTTTGAACTTGCAACCAAAGACATCTCGGGAGAAAAATATGTGTCTTCTAGTTTAGTTATTCCATTAACAAACTGTATTAAAGTTTCCTTAGAAAGAATTAGTGTAACAAGCATAATCTGTCAACAACTTAAACATGAACTAAAAAATCAACATGAGAAAAGATTATTACCTCAAGAGAAAAACATACTGCTGGGTATATCAACGTTATTGGATCCAAGATTCAAAAAAATTCACTTCCATTCTCCTCTTACACTAACAAATGTTATTAATCGAGCAAAAATAGAAATAAGGGATGAACAGATCCAAAAGGACCCAAGTTTAGAACAAACGGAAACCCAAGGCTATGACAGTAGTGACACTACAGAATATGACATAAAAAACATTTGGATGGTACATGACGAGGTAGCCTCCAGTCAAAGGACAGACGATGAAGATCCAGGAAGTATTCCCAAGGAATTAAAATTATATTTAGATCAGCCTACACTACCCCGAAAATGTTGTCCAATTCGCTATTGGGTAGAAAATAAAAATGCCTTTCCAAAGACCTCACAAATTGCCCTTAAATATTTAACATCACTAGGAGCATCTGTATCTTCTGAAAGAGTCGTATCTTTTTTAAATTATGTAGTTAGTGATTCAAGAAGTAGATTGACTCCTAGTCATACTAATCAGCTAGTGTTTTTGGGATCACTTGATCCCAAATATTGGAACATTTAAAATTATTTTTTTTTAAATTTGTTCTTTTTTTTACAAAATAAATAATTTTTATTTTATTTGTTTTTTTACAGTTTAGTTTACACAAAAATAAATAAAATAACCTAAAACCCAGTTATTACTATAACCGGTTATTTTAGTTCAGGTTAACCGAAACAGGTTAAATTATGTTTTATTTTAACCGGTTAACCGATAACCGGTTATTTTTTAATAACCGCCCATCACTACTATACAGGGTCCTAGAATAAAAAATATTGAGAATTTTGTTTAAGTGCAAACCTTAAGTATGTGCTAGGATGTATTTCAGGAAAATATTTTAACTTCTATAGGGTGGCTTAAAGAAGTGTGAGTGGATCGGGATGTCATCTCAATTCACAAAATAATTCCATGAAATTTACGATTGGGAAAGAGAAAAACCTCTGTCTGCCGTTTCTAGATGCCCTTGTTAGTAGAAATGGAGGATCTATTAAGACTTCTTTATACAGAAAACCTACAAACACGGGACAATATTTAAGTTTTCAATCAAACCATTCTAAAGCAACTAAGAAAGCAATAGGTAGTTAAAACTTTATGTCATCGAGCAAACAGCATATGCAGTGACCAAGCATCAGTTAATGTTGAATTAAATAATAATTAAAACGAATTTGCTTCAGAATGGTTATTCTGAGAAGTCTATAGACAAAATTGTATAGAGTCCCCTGACGAAAACGGCGCATCAAAAACAATTTTTTTTTATATTATAAAATTCAAATTTTAGTACTATTTGACGTTGCGAATGAATTTTGACCAGAGAACATGTTTTATTTTGACAGATGATATGGACAAATTATGACAAAGTTCGGCAGTGGTGCCGCTATATAACGCGCAATTTCTTTCTCAAAAACTTTTAGCATAAAAACATTTAAAATTTATGATTTCAGTCTAGTAACTATTTAGTCAACATGTTTAATTTATGCCAATGATTTATTGATAATTTCGATTCTAAATATCTCGAGAACTATTACTTGTAGAGATTGTTACCAAGATACCTTTTTTAGGTAAAAAACGTCGCAAAAGTATATTTTTTTACTCAGTAGTTTTACCAACAAAAAGTTATTACTCTTCAAACCAGTTAAAAATATATAGGTAGCGCCCTCTACAAGTAGGAGTTATATTGACATCAAAATCAAATTTCTCATGTGAAGAAACTCCCAGACTCAAATTTTCATCCAAATATTGACGTTACTTCATAAATTATTTGTAAAAAATCGAAATAAAAAGAAAATTCTACACCCTGTATCTCCGAAACTAAGCATTTTAGGACATACATTTATACGAACTTTTTTACTTATTTTTATATGCAGAATGTGCTGCCAAAGTTTCCGGAATATAGTTCGGACCACTCTGTAGATTAATTCCCGCTATGCATTCCAATTGTATTGCTGTTTGTAACTTATTTCTTAGTAAAATAAAAAAAAATACTTTGAAATTAAAATGACAGACCCATTTATCACTATAGATGATTTTGTCGTTGGACAGACTATAATGAAATAATGTTTTGAATTTTAGAAAATTTAAAAAAAGGTATTGTTCCTAGGATTTAAATAATAACATAATCAGGAAGGCTCATGACAATCCGTTGCTCCAATCCAAACTACCCCGTCGGCTTCTCTCAGTAATCAGTCCGTAATGAGCGCCATCTGCGCGGCCCTTCTTGTGTTTATGGCCTGTCCGACAACGCTATTAACACGTCCAATATCCGACTCGGCCAAGACATAACCGAGATATGAATGACGTGACCGGACCGAAACGACTTCGACCACGATGTTCCGGCTGGCCATCCAGCGTTACTCCGGCACGGCGAACCGCTACGTTGGATTATTAAATTGTAAAAGTGTAGGGGCGGGCGGGTTCGGATAAATAGACATGTGCGCCGAGAATAGTGTTTGAATATTAGTTTGAATCGCTAGCCTGGCAAAATTAGACCGTTTCCTACGGTTATTTACGATGCCGAGTGATATTAGACAACCTGGTATAATTTGTACGTACAGAGAGATACAAATATAACGTAATATCATTTACTGATGCCAGCAACTGTTATTTATAAGTTAGCAAAGTATTATCAGTGTATATATATTGTATAACCTATAAAAATGATACTTATCATTTTTTACGTACATTTAGTATTGTCCCGCCTCGAAGATCCCTGAATTTTCTCTCGAAGTCTTAACGCTCCGGAGATAGATTTCATAGGCGTATCATTTTCCATGTCCTACATACATACTGCCATTACTCGCTGACGAGTATTCGACACCCATCAGAAGATGGTCACGCAAGGCATTTTCTTTCATGAGCTTTTCTGTGACTGAAAAGCCCGATACGTGATGTTATCTGCCTACCGCAATCCGGACATTCAAAAATCTAATTGCTTTGTTGCCTCTTCACTTTTTGGTTGTCACTGTTAACTGAGTTTAGAATTCTTCTCCATTAAGTTTTATTGTGAGCTGCTTCTTCCCACTCATTCTGCCTGTTAATCCCCTTTAAGTTTACGTGGAAAATGTCCTTGTACCTTTTCAGTTGTCCACCCGGCCTCCTCTTACCGTCTACAAGCTCACTGTAAAGAAAAAATTTGGTATGCGGTTTTCTTGCATTCTGCATACGTGACCAGTCCATCTTAAGCGAAATTTTGTAACCATGACTCCAAAACTCTCGCAGTTAGCTTTTTCAAGGACCGATACGTTTGAGACATGATGGAACCACCGGATTCTTAAAAATCCATGTCCGATCAATCAATGACAGACCATTCCTTGACCCAAAAATTTTCAGATTTTTACAAACATTCAAATATTTTCACTAATAATAGCTTGTTTGTCAAGATTTTTTTAGCAGTTGTTTTTAGAGTCTCTTTAAGCAACTCAGAAAGTTTGGAGTAACCAGAAAGTTAGTAGTAAACTATTTGTCAGTGGCTTTTTCTGTTTTTTTTTGGAATTTCCGGAAAGGGTCGTAAACAAAAAAAATTGCATAACTTTTTTTTCGATTCCCGAACTTTTATTTATGAATTGAAAGTATTTTCAGTGTTTTTTGATTGCATTGAAGAGGAAGTTAATCATCGCGACCTTATAGGTCTATGGTGTTCCCATTTTTTGAGTTATAACTTATCATACAGTTTCAGGGCTTTGCCAAAAGTCATTATCTAAGACTGTTTTAGAGAAGTTAGTTCTCCATTTTCGATATCAGTCGTACCAAAATTTATGGCACGAATGGTTTCCATCTATGCACCCTCATTGATGAGGTATTCCTATTTTCCAGAAGAACAAAATCTGCATTCGCCGTTGTTTCAATCCGAATGACAATCCGAAGATTCTTCTTACTTAAATGAAGAAAAATCTTTGATTTTGCTCGGTCGTAAAATTTGAGGAATTTCTTCGAGTATCTTAAACCGTTTCCAAGTAGTATTTTTGTACACATTTTAGATAATGTTTCTAATAATTGTAACCCACATATTTTGTATGGCTTTATTACATGTGGTGTTTCCAATGTCGACCACTAGCCGTTTCCTGTAATGTTTCGATGCGGAATCAAATTTTAGAAAAAATGTTTCGAAACATTTGCTGCAATTTGTGTCCAAGATGTTCCCGTTTCAGAAGAAACAAAATACCAAAGTAAAATAGTCTATATTTTTGTGTGGATTTTAAAATAAAAACAACCATCAACAATGTCGACCTCCGCCATCATTTTTTTGTCTTAAAATCTTTGTTTTAGGTTTTCTTGTACAAAAAATGTCTGACAAAAGCAAATTCATCGTTTAATTTGATAATGTACTTTCATAATTTTAATGCCCTTTCTATATATGATTATTTGTTGCTACAAAATATTTTTGTTTGAAATATAGATTTTTATTTCTATATCATGGTTCTGAAAATAAAATATATAAATCAATGCAAGTGAAACGCGTTGAAAATGAGTTTCAAAGCCCAACAGCCTATCAGAATATATATTTCTTTAGTTAAAAACGTTATCACTAGCAAACATGGCGGAATTTTAATTCATTATTTTATACAATTGACATGAAGTCGGACACAAATCATCTACATTATATCATATTTGTGTCTAAAAAGAGCGAAACTCGTGCTTCAAAAATGAATCGACAATAAATGGAAACCTTGTTTCCAAAGTGTTTCGATTTAGCGCTATCTTTGTAGAAATTTCGAACTAGTAGACTCTCAACAACGTAACATTTTCTTTGGTTTCTTGTTGGGTACGGATAGTAGCTGTTATTACATTTATTTCTAAAACAAATCATCTCTGTAATACGTATATACATATATATGTATAATAAATAATTATAAAATAGTATAAAAAAATCTTTATTTGTACTTACCATATGTCTGCTTTTTTAATTATAGTACTATAAAAGCTTGAAGAATGCTTAAATGCAAGAACTGCAGAACAAAATCAAAACGATAAAGTAAGGTTATGTTCTCATATATGACAGAATATCAAATAAATTATGGAAACTTTTCATTACAAAACGGATACGAAATCTGTAAATGTGAGCAACATCTGTTTCTTAAAATTTCGAGAAATTTTTATCACTAAAATCTTTATTATGGCAAAATGTTTTGGTAAAACAAAAACCGATTTATCTTACGAAACATATGTATCAAAAATGTGAGGAAACTGTTTCGCAATGTTTCCAAGCAGAGATTGAATTGAACACATAAGCCAACACAAATCTACATATGAGTCAAATTCGGTTGAATTATCCCGGCTGTAAAACAGAATTAAAATTATCTCAACTTTTTTCAACGTTCGATTGGAAATAAAATTAATTAAATAAATACTTATGTTTTAAACATTATATTATTTACAGAGGGCAAAATCACGGTAACATTAGACACCCAATATAAAAGCACACAGTAACGTTCTTATTTTTGTCAATCCCACTCTGTTATGGGACGCAACGCTCGAACCTTGCAGCCGGAATGACTCATTTCAATCCGAGGCGCTCTACATGCTGGCAACAATCCGCTAAA